GTAGATAATTGCACCGCAACTGTCCATCACTTCTCGAATGCAAGATTCTTGATACATGGAGATGAATTCTGCTAAGTCACCGCCACCAAATATAACACTTAGGCTATCCATTGTTGTCGGTTGTTCAGACGTATTGTCATTGATTAAACTAACGAATTTGCGTCGACATGTTGGAGCAGAATTTGAAGGAGTTTGATTGACTTGGTGAACGTGAAGTATTTGGTTCAAAGAAGTGGCATCTTCATCTTCTGCCGCGTTTCTTTCCTCATCAGCGGCACTAGCGCTGTTCGCTTTCTCAAAATCAATAATCACCAACGAACCATCGATTGGCTTTAATTTACGAATCCATTCGGGATAGTCCAAATCTTTCACCATATTGGCCACAGCATTGATAAATGCTATTGTATACATGGGAGTTCTTACCAAGTTGAACTTATCCCAATCTTGGCCAGAGGAAATAATCACGTCTAGGACATGTTTATCAAAGTCACCGATCCCCTTCAGAGGCAGTCGACCTTGGAGGAGAAACGTAAGACACTCTTCTAGGCGCTGCCAAGAATCCCAATCACCGATCAATGAATAACGACCTTGATGAAATATCGTATGTGTTTCGTAGGCTGCCCATCTGGAGATATATTTACATTTGTCTTCGAACAGGTTACCTTCTTTTGCTTTCTTATTAGCTTTTCACATTCCGGCGACCAGCGCAATCCTATCTGAATGATTTAAGCAATTTCTTCGTTTTTATATAGGGAGAAAATTTCATTTTTCATCCATTCTCTCTAGAAGACCGTCAGGGCATTCCCGTCAGCAACATCAATCATGCCACGCACATAAAAACACAACAACATGATTTCATATTTTTTTACCTAAAAAAATTGCCACTTGTCATGAAGAAGCAAAGACGAAGTTGAGTGTGCAGAAGGACAATGTTTGAATTGGATTAGAAACAGAACGTCATTGAGCGATAGAGGCCAAACTCTATTGACTCGAGTTTCTTTTCTCTTATCTTGGAGATAAAAAACAGTATCTACACAGAAACATCCCGGTGAAATCGGACAAGCATAGAGGAAAATAGAAGAATAGCATTTGTCTATACAACGAGGAACAATGGATGGAATTAAATCTTTAGGGATGGTGGTACAAAGGTTGTACCACCTGTTTTGCGATAAAAAAAATCGTTTTCTTTACATGAAAATGTTCGATATGCAAGATCATTACGGTTATAAGTTGCTCCGTTCGTCATCTCATATATACCTTTTCTTTCTTCCTGTCAAAATTCAATTGATTTCACAGCAGCAATAGGATGTGGGTGTGGGTGTGAGTGAATATAATTTCTCTGAAGTATCATATATTCACACCCACATCCAGACCCCACACCCACACCTACACCCACCCACACCCACACACCCACACTCACACCCTCACCCTACCAAAGATAATTATTTTTCGAGTTATTTTCAGATTGTATAATATTCAATCATACTGAGATGCCTTACTAATATTCACTAACAACGCGTAGTTGTATATTATGATAAACAAAAATCATTGCCAACAAAATTCAATCTACTTTCGTTCGATCAATGTAGACAATTCAAGATATATGTTAATTATCAAAGAAAAAATACAATACGCTTATTAACGAAAAATTATTTTATAGGATATTATAAAATTTTAGTTATGAAAACGAAGCTTTCGTTTGAAAAAGATTATTATTGAATACCTACCTATCTACTTCTTACGAATATTAATATTGACAATAGTCGATTTTCATCGAATCCGACACGAATTCTGTAATCCGCTAAATATGAATAGCAAAATTACCAAAGAAAATTTAAGAATTTTATAAATTAGTTCACAGAAAAGATTCTTCTTGTTTAGTTTACAAAAAAAATTAAATAATATGACTTTCACATCCAGGCATACATACAATATGTGCTCTGAGAAGATTTCTATGTTATTAAGATCTGTCAAAGTACTAGTCTTTCAGAAATTTGTAAATGGATATAAGGTAATACTCATGCCAAATTCTGATAAATTTTTTTTCCTTGTTCACTTATATATAATTTGATAGAGTTCGTCGAGATAGTCATGAATATGTAATTTTTATTTCGATCCAATCACTGTTCGACTGAGAGAAACCATAAATTGCTTGCATGATTGAAAATGAAAGTATGGGCTATTGTGAATCCGCCCTTTTTTTTTAAATAGAAATTGTCAAATTTCAATTACATTGATTGAGTAGAAAAAATATTAGCAACAATAGGACTAAAAGAAAATCTTAGATAAGTTTACAAGAATACTTACAAATATATGTTATGAGGTACATTGAAGCCATCTATATTAGATAGAACTTTTTTTTTAACCTTATTAGTTCTAACTATAATTGAATAAGACTCTCCCTACTCAGCTCTTAATGCTGAATCAGAATAGAATGTTTTTTATAAAATTAAAAAAAAAAATTTGACAATTTGTATTTAAGAATAGCGAGTTCACAATTGTCTGTGTTTTATTTTCAGTCATTAGAGATTTTATGGGTTTTGTTTAGCCAAACAGTGATTGAATTAAAATAAAAAGTATACACCGGGCGTAACAAAGTTTGGTGATATTTTTTGTTTTGCATGTGACTCTACTCGGAAAGATGATAAAACGTTGATCTTCATTTGAAAAGATGCGTCATTGAATGTTCTATTCGAATAATAAGATCAAATCTTTATAGCTATTTTTGAAACTTCAATGGATTAGTAACATTGAACACGTGTAACATCGCCTGATCTCCTGCAAAAGAAAATAAGAGAAAGTCGAATATTGTTGAATTTTAAATTTGATAATTATTATTCATTTATTTTGGTTATAATATTTGAAACTAATCAGAAATTTAGTGTGATCTTCGAAGTATGAGGATTATCACTCATCCTTATTTCGAATTTAAGTAAAAAATAAAATAACGTCCTTGTCAATTGATCTAAATGCTTTACTGTGAAATAAAATATTTTTTGCTCAATATACAAATCATTAGATTAAATTTCTACGACTGTTCAAAGAAATAGTAAAAACCAATTAAGTTTAACAAAACAAAAAAATAGTACAATGTGAACTTGATCTCAACTGACGATGATGAAAATACATTGAGAAGAAATCAATACTAATCTCGTTGGAAGTATTGAGTTTTTTTTTATAGCGTTTGAGACAGTTCATTTTTGTTTAATATTGATTTAATTAAAAATGGACTTCTCCAATTTTTTCTTGTAGAAAACAATACGATGATATACATGTTCAGTGTTAGTTTTCTATTAAAATTTCAAAAATAACTAGAAAGATTTGATTTTATGATCCGAATAGAACATTTAATAGCGCATCTTTTGAAAAAACAAACAATCAACATTTTAACTCGTTGCCGAACAGAGTTACATGCAAAAAAACAATGTAGCAAAACTTATACGACACCAGGTATTCGTGACTATCTCGTCAAGTTCTATCAAAGTATATATACATGAGCCAGATAAGATTCATTTGAATTTTGCATTTGCAATGCCTTACTTTATTTATAATGAAATCATCATGACGTTTATCTTGCAAAAACAAAAAAATACTACTGAAATTGAAATATTATATCATGCATTACTGTAAACTTTGTATTTTTCAACATCTTCTCATACTGCTTGCTTTTCTATTACGTTTATAATGTTATTCTAGGTTCTTTTTTTTCATTTGCTATTGATCAGATAGATTAATCAATAGAAATTTCTTCTATTTTTACTTATTCTTCGACGGTTTATTTACAATCATCATTCTTTTTCTTTTAATATTAGGAATTCATTTGACATTCGTATTGTTAATGAAGAACGAAGAAAACCAATATGAATTAATTAAAATTTTTTTTTTGTATTCAAGAATAAATCCAATTCGTTGATGTAAAGAGAAGATTGTAAATATCTTTTGCACTCATAGGTTAATAAAAAAAAAATTTTTTTTCTTATAATTGTTTCTTTTTTCACTGGGACATATGGTGAAATCATGAAATAGAATAAATTGTCGTATGTGTAAACAGAATGGAAAAATTGAAAAGAAGTTATATCATTGTGATTCAATATTTTTTTTACCTTCAAAAGTGAAGGATCTATTGTTTTTAATTGCAGTTAAAAGCAACTATCACAACAAGAATCAATCGATAAAGCGATATCGATACCTTTAATTGTACAAAACTATTAGTCAAAAACAAAATAGAACATTAGAAATCAATTAAATCAATATTTTATAAACTAAACTTATAAGATATTACAGAACGAAAAAAGTATGTTCTTTACTCGATTTGTTTCTAAAAATCAAATAAGTGAAATAATTAATGATAGATAGATCTTGAATTTTTGCAGAGTTCGCAAATAAAAATTTTGAATAAGTGTGGTGATGTAGATATGAGTCTGGATGTGGGTGTGCGTGTGTATATGGGTATGGTTGTGTGAGTAGGGGTGTGGTGTGGGTGTGGGTATGGGTATGGGTATGGATGTGGGTGCGGGTGTTAGTCTTCGGTTCGCTTGAACTCATAAACCCACACCCTACACCCACACCCACACCCACATCCTACATCCACACCCACACCCTACACCCACATCCACACCCCACACCCACATCCATACCCATGCACACACCCTCAAGAAGCTTTGAATTAGTAAACAACAGGCAACTGGTCGATAATTAATAAAACAATCATGAAGAAAAACAATATGCAACATTTGATGATTTATTTTGAAGTATGTTCACATTGAAATTATACTTGATCAAAAGGCACTTGCAGTGACATTGTAAGTTATCTTTGCAATTTCTCTTATTCTCATAGTAAGCTGAAAATTGAATTTGAGTAGAGAATTGTGTTTGCTTGAAATACACAGAGTCGCATCAGACTTCGCTTTTTCAAACAAATGTGCATTGATCAATAGTTTGTTGTGACAGTCATCACATATTCGAAACTAGGAAACAAGCAAACAACTATTAATTAAAAGATGGTATCACATAAATCAAAAGTAGTCCGCGTGAGAAGTCAACGGCAACTTGTATGTGCTGATGAAATCTACTTCTAAATATCTTGAAATAAAGTTTTATGTTGTAGCATTACATTGAGCCGGACATGCACTATGGGAACATCAGCCCATCAACTACAAGAGAGGTATGGTAGACGTAAAAAGTTTGATCATTGCTTAAAAGTATCTAGACTTTGTTCATTCAAGCCTTAGGTTTCCATTCGAAAGAGAGCTCCAAAAATGCTGATTCTAGGCAATAATCAGAAGTTGATTAATATTTTCATAAGATTCCATAGTGTTTTTCAAGGAAACCAGCCAAAATCACATAGTTTAGCCGAGGCCAAACTCCACCAAGTTCTTTCCTTGACTGAGACAGTAGCATCTGGTTCTGGTTTGCAATCTGGAATACAAGTGATTCATGTATAATTGGGGAACAAAACAAACATTAGGATAGTTGCATGTGGCTCTTCAACTTTTTTCAGCTGCAGTACTCGTAGACATACAGCAGTAGTCTAGAAAGGTTGATAACTTATCGAAATTGATCGTACTCATCTGTGTATGTCGAGCGTTTTGAGAAAGGGATTCTGCGGCTACTGCATTAGTTAAAGATATTGAATATGATTTTTTTTACAATGATATCTATTAGAATAAGATCCCATTATTTATTATGAGTACATTTCGCGGATTTGATTCTTATATATATATAGCAGGAATTATTTTTTGTTACGGTTTTGTGTTAAGTTGTAGGATATCTTATATATAGTATTCGATGAATACAATATTGAGAAGATTCTATAAATATAACTATTGTTCACCGATGGCCAACTGGTGTTACATAAACCTCAATGACTAATTATGTACCAGAAAGTTCTCAAAATCGAACTTTGGTATCATTAGTCATCGGTCAAATGAGCCTTGTTGAGGCTACTATACATAGCTATGAATGATTTCAATAGCTATCTAAATACTTAAATAGCTATGCAACTAGTTAAATAGCTATGAAAACCTTAAATAGCTATGCAACTACTTAAATAGCTACGCAAATACTTAAATAGCTATGAAAAAGCTTTTAGCGCAATCCCTGCGGGATTAAAAATGTGAAACACGATGGAGCTTTTTATATTGTGAATGAAGGAATTTGAATTTTCTCTGTCACGGTCTGTGATGGTCTTTGAAGCCCCTCTATCACGGTCTGTGATAGGTACTGGATTTGTCTGTCACGGTCTGTATCGGGTATTGGATTTCTCTGTCACAGTCTGTGATGGATACTGGCAGAGGCCGCGGAAGCGGGGGGGGGGGAGTGTACACCCCCTCCCCAATAATTGAAAATTTTCAATTTTTTCCAGCGACAAGAGTAGATTTTTTGTACGTGTTGGGCTTATTTTGTGAAATTTTATTGCAAATAGCCCCTTTACACCCCCCCCCCCAATCTTAGGACCTTCGCGCGGCCTCTGGGTACTGGGTTTCTGTCACGGTCTGTGATGGGTATGGATTTTCTCTGTCACGATCTGTGATGGTCTTTGAAGCATCTCTCTCACAGTCTGCGATGGATACTAGGTTTCTCTGTCACGGTCTGTGATGGGTACTGGATTTCTCTGTCACGGTCTGTGATGGGTCCAGAGCCCTGTTTGTCAAGGTCTGTGATGGGTCCTTAGCCTGTCTGTCATGGTCTGTGATGAGTCTAGACCCTGTCTGTCACGGTCTGTGATGGGTCTAGACCCTGTCTGTCATGGTATGTGATGGGTCTAGACCCTGTCTGTCATGGTCTGTGATGGGTCCTTAGCCTGTCTGTCATGGTCTGTGATGGGTCTAGACCCTTTCTGTCACGGTCTGTGATGGGTAATTAGTTAATTAAATACTAATTAATTAATTAATTCGTTAGTTAGCTAATTAGTTAAAATGTCTGCCACGGTCTGTGGGGGGTCCAAATTTCTACCCCTAAACACTTCAACACTCCTTTCAGATCATGTTTCACAAAATGCCAACGAGCACAGGTGAACCATCCGTACCACAACCAGTTGATCGAGTATTTCGTCTACCCAAATCGAAATCCCAGCATCATGATTCTGAAAATGTAAGTAGGAAAAGAAAGAATTGTTTTTCAGGATGAAGAATGACAAATCTAGACTCGTTCTCAATCACCAACTTCTCCACCAACATCAACGATATCGAATAATCTACATGAGATTGAAACAACAACGAAGTAAATCAATGATTCTCTTATGGAAATCAATTTCTTTGTTTCTCATCAATTGTAGATGGTCGACACGAAAGAAAGTCATCGTTGGTCTGATAATAGCTGCTGTTTGTATTGTGATTATCGTGACTGTTATTGTGACTGTCTTGCTCACTCGACAATCAAGTAATAACTATCGCTTTCTTTGAGATTTTATTGTCAAATATGTAACCTAGGGGAAATCCTTAATGGATCGAGTCAAGATCCTTCAAGGATTCGCTCTTTTTCCAGACGAAATGACTAAATCCTGAAGAAAGTGTGTAGTCACGGAATTTCAAGATCCTAACAGAATTCAAAACGTGATTCCATCAGGATCCTTAGCAGTTTCCGACTTTTTTTTCAAACCGGAAATCCTTTAGGAAACAAGATATGGTTGTGGATGTCAATGTGGATTTGTCTTATGTTAACTAACAGTCACAATTTCTAATACACTCTCCTGTTGGATTATTGTTGAGATCCAGGATTGAGAATAGGGCGAGATCACTCTCCCTGTCTTCATCGTTTGATAGGCATTTGCGTAATGAAGTACACATTAAAACTGGAGCAAAATCAGAGAAATCGATTTCTTATAAAATCGACTACTTTTTCATATTTCAAGGTTGATTGTTCATTTTAATTGAATAACAATTTGATCTTGAGAAAAGAAGAATATTCGATGTCAAGATGATTCGAGTCATGGAACACTTGATGAAATCTGGAAAGATTTACTTAGAAACTATTTATTTAGATTCGAGTTGAACTGTTTCGCTTGTTGTTTAACGATCTGTGAAAAACAAATCATTTGAACTTATTTATTTTCGATCAAAGAACTTTGACCAAATCAGTTTTAACATGAAGAATTCTCTTGTGTAACAGATGATCGAATCCGAGTTTTGTTTCATATAGACAAGGTGCTCGAGGAATTTATCTTTCAAGTTCGAATCGATGCTTTCAATAGAGTAAAACTCTTTTTCACAATATTTCAAGAAATGCATAGATGTAGAAAAGCGAATAGAATTCATAAATCAAATTGAATTCGAACTAGATCAAATGACAGAGCTAACAAGGAAACAACAAAAAAATGACTTTTGAGCTTTCCGTTGAATTGATAGCACTGAACGAAGAAATGAATAAAACCCCGTTAAATCGAAGAGAGAAAGATCGACATTTGATGTTGATGTGTTTTTTTAAGAGAGACTATATCAAGAAGATCAAAGTGTTGACCAGTTCCAAATAGAAGACGAGATGATATTTACAGAAAATTATCGATTGATCAACAAAGCAACAACTGAAATTTGGTTTTTTTAAAAGCTTTTTTCACAGATCAAATTGAGTTCTTGCGTCTGATCATTCGAATGCAAATCTCTGATTTTGGTTGAAGAAACTTCGTTAATCATTCTAAATGATAAATTTAGACACGACCGCATCAACTACAAATACCACTGTTGTATATGTATTGTGGAGTTTTGATAATGTAACAACAGATTCATACGGTGTTTACAATGGTCAGTTAATGAATAGTGCAACGTATTCTCCAAGCTCTAGCACAATGCCATATTTGGGACAAGGCCGCGCATTAAGTGTAACAGCAGCACAAAATCAATCATTTCAAGTGTCAACTCCATTCTTGAACCTCGCTTCCACAAGTTTTACTATCGAAGCTTGGATTTATTCAACAATTGTGACAGGTGACAATGGTATTATGGGTCAATGTCAGTGTACATCATGTTCAAATCAATGTTTTTTTTTTCTGATTCGATCGAGTAAATTGTATGTCGGATTTACATTGAATGATATCAATGGTTTAACAACGATGACAGTTAATACTTGGTATCATGTTGCTTTTGTTTATAATTCTGTTACAAAACAACAAATCTTGTATTTAAATGGAGTACAAGATAATATCAAGTCAAGTTCATCTGCTTATCAAGGAACAAATGGAACATTTACAATCGGTTCTGCAAAGTATTATCCATCAACAACATTTTTTAATGGTTATATAGATAATGTTAAGATTGAGACACTAGCGAAATCTGCGACAGAAATTTTAACTGCTGCATCATTGATCGCCTATTATTCATTTGATTCACCTAATCCAACTTATGATAATGGCCCAAATGGATTAAATGGTTCATCAATAAATGCAGGAATAGTTACTGGACGTGTTAACCAAGGAATACAATTCACTGGTTCATCATCATATTTTCAAGCATATGGATTTTATCAAGCCGGATACGGCGTTAATTCCAACAAACCATTTTCAATTTCAATGTGGATAAGTACATCATCGTATTCCAGTTGTGCATTTGTTCAGATGTCAACAGCTTATAATGGTGGTTCATGTTTTAATATGCTTGGCATTTGGTCATATACTGGCAATGCGGCTCAATTAGTTGCGCAAGGTTATGCTTGGCCAGCTATTTATGGACCATCAATAACATTGAATACCTGGACACATGTTTCATGGACATTTTCGCTAACTAATGGATATCGATTGTATGTCAATGGAGTTTATTTCGGCACAACTGGTTATTATTCGTATAGTGGAACTTCTGGTGTGATCAATTGGTTACAAATTGGATACAGTTTCACTTGTTCAGGTAATTATATCTCAAATGCTGCTTTCCAAGGAATCATCGATGAAATTTATGTTCATAATCGAGAAATTACGGCAACAGAAGTCTATACATTCGCTAATCCATGAACTTTTTTCGAGATCGAGTTTCTCCTCGATTTCATGAAGAAACATTTCATTCGAACTTCACATTTGTTTGATTTGTCACACAGTTGTTTTTTAATAAAAATTTCTTCGAAATCAAATCTTTAGTTACAAGTGATCTCATAATCTTTTTCAATTGTTAATCTTTGTTTGACACACAAACAGAGTGAAGTCCTCGTCATTCTTCGCATGAATCTCAAATGACATCGATCCTTTGTAGATCTTCATATTCTTAGTCGGGTGATTCTTTCGAAAACGTACCACAGTTACATCGACTTCAAGTGAATAGAATGAAACTTTTTAAACTTGTAGGACTCGAGTCTGTAAGTATAGGGATTCGAGTACAGGGATAAGGTGTGATCTCCTAGTCAAACTGAATCTTAGCTAGCTTATCTGCTTTGAACGATAGAAGTTTGAAAATTTTACTATAGATATTACCCGTTCATGTAATCACTTTTTTGTAGCAGACATTTTTTTCCTAAGTGTTCTGTTTTTGGGAAACTGCAACAGAAAATGTCAATTTTTGATGACTCAAATATCTCCATCTTTAATACCTATTTTCGAATTTTTTCCAAATTCGCACCTGTGTCATGCAAAATTACGAGATTCTCAAAATTTGTCCTATAGTCTGAGAAAAGTGATCCTGAAGTTTTCATATGAAATTTATAACAGTCATTTTCTTCAAAAAAAATTTCAAGGTCAATTTTTTCAGACTATAGGACAGGCTTTGGAAATCTCGTGGTTTTTTCTGAGGCGGGTGAGAAGTTAGAAAGACTTCCAAAGTGGGTTCCAAAGATGGCTTTATTACTTGGTATAGGAACAAGCTACAGCTTTTAAGTTCCAGCGTTAGATAGAAGACAGTTAGGCAATCTTCGAGCACTAATAGAAGTTTAAAATTGGTTTTGGTGTGGGTGTGGGTGTCTTCAAACTCATGCCTCAGCACGAATATTCACACGCATACCCACACATCAACATCACCCATACCCACACCTCCGCATTCACCCCACACCCACGAACCTCACACTCACACTCTTAAATATACCCATTCATTCAATTGTACAACTATATACCATCAGTTAAAAGTCAAATCAATCATTTGTATTTATACTTCCTGTTCAGTTTTTTTTTTGGATGAAATCAAAATACCTCTCCTTGTTGTACATTAGTATAGCAATATATCAAAATTGCAGTACTAGATATTGCTTTTGGATTCCAACATCGGACAAAATAATAGCAAATGATCGTCGATAACTGTTTCGACTTTGAGTGGCAGCCATTGCTCGTATGACGTGTGATCTTGGATGGCGATTGACAACATACAAATATGTAATAAAGATGTTAATTCATTTTATTTTCAAAAATTTCAATTTCTGTTTTGTTTTTGTATTTCAATGAGTTAGTATAAACAATTTGTTTTTCTTTACAATTCAGATTAATACATAAAACTTCATTGCTGAACATATTGGAAATACTAGTTACATTCCTGTTCATACACAACATCAAAAACAATATATATGCGAAACAACAGAGAATAAGTGTTACATCACAGCATGAAAAAAATAGCGAATATAGTCTGAATATTGATTAGAACACAACTAATATGACAGTTTTTTCTTTAAAATATACCATTTCAAGAAAAATTATCCACAAAAAAAAATGTTACATGTTCGATATAATTCAATCAAAAATATTAAGATTAGTATTAAATAAGATGTCAGTTATTTGTTTGTCTAGCAGTTACAAATGTATTACTGAATCCTGATCCCAGTGGTTGCCGACGAGATAAATTCATCAGCTGAGAACGAAACAATTGACTTGACAATAAAAATAGATAGAAACTCATGCATGAACCGAAAATGGTTGTTGCATTCATAACACTTAGCACATAATTGTCTCTGACTTTTTCAAAATCGTTTTTTATCATTACACTGTTTGTTATTGATACGTAAAGCTAAAAAACCGAGTTGGCAGTTGATATTGAATCATATAACAAACATTGAATAATCAACATTTGAATTAATTGTCGGTCTACTTTCTTTTGATTACGTTGAACATCATTTTGTGTATTTCGCACTGCTACTCTCTTCTCACTTTGACGAACATGTCGAATAATAAATGAAACAAAAATAAACATACAAATAGTTGGAATCCAAGCAAAAAAAATCAAGTTCCATATAGAATAAAAAGCCTGATAAGAGGTTCTTGAAATAGTACATGATCGTTGTGATACGAAAATTGTATAATTGAAAGGCATATGGCTATAAATAAGACCATTGAATAAAATAGTAAATAGAATAGTACGAGAAGCAATACGAATATTGCTCCATCGACGAAGAGTAGCATTTGTAGAACTACAAAGAAACCTACAGAAGAGCAAAAACGAAAAACGATAAAATCTTTGAAAATACACAACAAAACATTGAAACTCATCATATTGAGTAAGAGTTGATTCATTCTAGACAGAAAATATGAGAAAGTAGTAACTATGAAGTTTCTGTCAGCAGTAAATAATCTAATTTATAATAAACATGAGTGAACAAAGAATAAATCAATGTTCATGTTGACATTCACATATTAGTATAAACAACAGTGTAAACGGCTTGTTCAGCAAAAATTGACCATACATGACTAAAGTTTAAAGGAAGATTTCTTTGACAAAAGGTCATCGAGTTTATTCATTTAAAAAGTTTTTCTAGGTTTTCGTATGTTCTCTATTGATGGATACCATTTATTTCGAATAACAATGAAACTAAATGGTCGTAGCTGACTAAAATTTAGTACTTTTTATGTAAAAACTTTGGAGAAAGACTTTCATTATTTTTTATCATGAAAAGAATAGAAATAATAGTGAGATTGCTGAAGATTCGATTTCGGTTTAACACGAATGGATCATTCGGTATTGCAGTCAAAGATGTAAAAATTGCTGAGTGTGTTACCGTAATGTTTTGATGATGACACTTTGTAGAAAAAATTTCCAAAGAAAATATCTAATCATCTTAAGGTTTGTTGTCTGAATCACAGACACAAATGAATAGATTTTGTTCAAATCGGAGAAATTTCCTGGTGTATGAGCGTTTTTTGAATCGTTTTTATATAATAGGATCGTTTTGGATGAGTGCGTTACCATGACGTTCTATTCTTCGAGAATCGTCACAGTTCGACCAGATGAAATGAGAATCTTACTGAAACTGAAACTTTTGTATACCTACTTGCAGTCTAAATTTCAGCTTTTTATCTTCTTAAGTTATTGAATTATGACTCTTCGGAGGTCAACAAACGATAAGTGCGTTATGTGTAGACAAGTTCAAAAGACTTTTCTTAGATTCAAAACAACGTAGAAAGAAGAACAAAATGATAGACATTTTTTCGGGACTAATTTGTTTTTCTCCTTCATTAAGACTTGCTTAGAATTTTTAGAATATCGAATAAAAAAAACACGTTGTCAACATCTCTCTATTGTATTCGTTGAATATATGCGACTATTGTTAATTTTTTAGTGTACATTAGCCTTCGAATGTATATGTTATCAGTGTCATTCTAATCATTGCTGGGACGTAACTTGGACCGTAAAAAAACCAGAGAACACAATGTCAGTTTAATCTATATATTTCTAATGATTGACAGTAAATTTCAAAAGTAGAGGAAGTGTAACAAAGATAATCATTGTAATTTCTCGAAAACATACGCTGTTACACACACCAAGAAATATCCCTTAGTTACGAGCCTCAATCCTCGTCATTGTTAGAGCATGCTATTAACTATCGAAAAATAGATTAACAAAAGACTTAATCAATTGAAAATTCCGATTCTATTAAGTATTTTGCTTCTGACTGATACTCACCGATCCCACACCGACACTCACCCACACCCAATTTAAGATAATATTCATCTAATTATGATAGAATATATACCCAATTTTGAACATTTTTGGGTTTGTAATAAGAGAGAAAAAGTAGTTTTTCTGACACGTACTAAGACTTTTGGCTCATCCTGTAAACAACCTTATTTTAAAAACGGACGTCAATCAATAATTAGGATGTTCAAATTCAGATGAATTCGAGCTTTTTTTCGACAGATCAATAAAGCCACACATATTCTGAATTCAACTAAAAGAACATCCTTAAAAATATAAGTTTCATTCTCTTTCCTTGTCAGCTTTCTAAGAACCAATTGGATTTCACAAGCTTCAAAAAACCATATAAGACTTCGAGAAATTTCAAACACTTCTAAAAATTCCCACGTTTCCACAGCTTCTCTCTCAAGTAGAACAGTATGAATGACTATATGTATGAATTTCCTTTTCATACCTATCATACATAACACATAACTACATATCATATGTCGCATATTATAATCGACTGTAGTAGATAGATTTTAGTTTATTCCATTTCTATCAACTTAAGGTCAATCTCATAAGAAGTGTCACTAAAATTACAGGAAAATTGGAACACATAAATAAAAAAGGGAGCATATCCCTGGATGACAAATCGAATATTCTCCCGAGATGAACGTTCACTCTCTGAGACGTCACCAATGTACTTTTAACTTTGTATTCGATTTCAATGAATTTTTTGCCCACTGAATAGCTTCTTCTCCTATTTGATTTTGCTCCAAGTAGAGTGCAGTGAGTGTCTACGTTAATCGGTAGAAAGAATGTATAATGACAATGAAAAAAGAATAATAATTACTTTATTAGTTTTAAGTGTCTCGATAATATGTTGAACTCCTTGTTCTCCGATTTGATTGTTTACGAGGTGTAATTCAGTAAGTGTCTATAACAAATGAAAGAAGAATGGTGTGATGGTAATAGATAGAGAATAGCTACTTGGTTAGTTTTAAGAGCTTCAGCAATATGTTGAACTCCTTGTTGTCCGATTTGATTTTCGTTGAGAACAAGTATAGTAAGTGTCTATGTGAAATATGAGAGGAAGTTTTTGATAGTGCTGAAAAGAGTAGAATTACTTTGTTAGTTTTAAGAACTTCAGCAATGTATTGAGCTCCTTGTTCTCCGATTTGATTGTTTGTAAGGTGTAGTTCAGTTAGTGTCTGTGTCAAATCAGAGTAGGATTTCGCTATACTAATAGCAAGAGAATAGTTACTTGGTTACATTTGAGAACATCAGCAATATGATGAGCTCCCTGTTGTCCGATTTGATTTTCCTTGAGGCCAAGCATGGCGAGTGTCTATAAGAAATGTGAGAGAAATTGTATAATGATAATAGAAGGAGATTAATTACTGTGTTAGTTTTGAGAGCTTCAGCTATATATTGAACTCCTTGTTCTCCAATTTCATTTTTGCTTAAACCAAGTTTGATGAGTGTCTATGTGACGTAAGGAATGAAGTATTTGAAGGTAATAGAAAAATAACACTTACTTTGTTAGTTTTTAGAGCTGCAGCAATATGTTGAGCTCCTTGTTGTCCGACTTGATTTTCACTTAGGCCTAAAACGGTGAGTGTCTATGTGAAATGAGAGGAGAAGTATGTAATGATAGCACAAAACCGAATAGCTACTTGGTTAATTTTGAGAGCATCAGCAATATAAAGAGCTCCTTGTTGTCCGACTTGATTTTGGAAGAGTTCAAGTGTAGTGAGTGTCTATATGAAATGAAAGAAAGATTATTTGATGCTAGTAGAAAGAGAATAGTCACGTTGTTCGTTTTTAGAGCTTCAGTAATATTTCGAGTTCCATGTTGTTCAATTTGATTTTTGGTTAGGGTGAGTATTTTGAGTGTCTATGTAATATGAGAAAATGAGTGTGTGACAATACAAGCAAGAAAATAGGGACTTTGTTAGTTTTTAGAGTTTCAGCAATATGTTGAACTCCTTGTTATCCGATTTGATTTTCGTTTATGGTAAGTGTAGTGAGAGTCTATGTGAAATAAAAGATGGAGTGTGTAATGGTAACAGAAAGAAAACGTCACTTGGTTGGTTTTTAGAGCTTCAGTAATATGTTTAGCTCCTTGTTCTCCAATTTGATTTTGGTCAAGGCGAAGTGATATGATTGTCTGCATGAAACGATAGAAGCAATCTGTGGTGATAAAGAAAAGCGAGTAGTTACTTGATTAATTTTTAGGACTTCAGCAATATATTGAGCTCCTTGTTCTTCAATGTGATTATTCATGAGGGATAAGGTAGTGAGTGTCTATATGGAAGGAGAGAACGAGTGCGTGGTTAGCAAAAAACCATAATAGTTACCTTGTTAGTTTTTAGAGCTTCAGCGATATATTGAACTCCTTGATCTCCGATCTGATTTTCGTCTAGGCTCAACAGGATTAGGGTCTACACGGAACGAAAGAAACTATGTCTAATGACAACCAAAAGAGAATAGTTACTTTGTTAGTTTTGAGAACTTCAGCAATATGTTGAGCTCCTTGTTCTCCGATGTGATTGTTTATGAAGGACACGTGAGTGAGTGTCTATGTGAAAGGAAAGAATGAGTGTGTGTTTGTTAAAGGAAGAAAATAATTACTTTGCTATTTTTTACAGCTTCAGCGATATATTGAGCGCCTTGTTCTCCAATCTGGTTTTGACTGAGGTCGAGTAGAGCAAGTGTCTATGAGAAATAAGAAAAAGAGTATAGAATGAAGATGAAGAAAGAAAGGTTTGTGCGTATGGATTTTGCATTATGGGGTACGAAAATTTTCAATATCCATAGCTGATTAGCTAAGCAAGTTTCTTTTGTTTGTAGAATTCGCCTAAACGAATGCTGTGTAATCGATTCTGACTGGAAGTTCATAAAACTGAACGCTAATTTTGTTGACTTGAGTACGAAACAGAGAAGTTCAACGAGTAATTATTTATGAAAATACTCTGCTGAGAAGAACGATACGTTGTTGTAGAAAAGTTTGCTGTGACAAAGACATGATCATAGATGTAGTTTTGACATCCTTTCAAAGTTAGTTTGTCACCTGTGCAACTGTCAGAAAAAGTCTATTGAAGTTCTCCTGTTCATTGAATGAGTATCATTTTTTTTTTCTGAAACGATATTTATCATCAATTCGACGAGCTACTTTTGCATCGGCATTATCATGCAGAACAGTTGCGTGCAACGTCATTTTAGCATATAGACATCTTTATGTAAAATACTACTCCGCTAACACTTGTAAATTTTTTTTTTGAAGATGAAGGTGTGGGCAATAGCAATGAAGCGCTTTCCTTACACCAGAATGATGAGAGAAACACATATAAATGAAGTAAAATCTGACAGATGCTAGTAGAATATTAAAGGCCTGACTATACTTTGGTAGAATTTTCTATGCTTACTGAACCAAAGTGCAACTTAACATACGTCGCATATAAATCTTTCCTATGAAAAGGATGTGGGTGTTACTTATTTCATGATGCAAATTCAAACGTACACCCACACCCTATTCGATAAATGATATTATTCATACCATATACTGTATGGACTATTACAGTTTGTCCTAAACGACGTGCGATGAGGAAGTAATTATCAGAATTATCATAATCATAGTTCTCTACTGAGAAGTATTGCAAAAGATTATCCTTTATTAATTGCAAAAACAATTGGTTTTAGCTTATATTATCCAAAAAAAAACATTACTAAAAGCATTTTCAAAAATGTCTATTTGAAAAATATTTATTTTTTCGAATAGGATTTTTTTTCTATTCGAACAAAGATGTTACAATTCATGTTAGTTTTTAAAATTGAGAAGTATTTTTATTTATCTTTTAAAGAAAATAACATGAATGATACTGTCAACTGTTTACAATCATGATTTTTCAAGTTTCAAACGAATTTAGTTTGAAAACATAGATGACTTAACTGACTTGATACCTTTCAGACAGTTAATTTGTCTTTATTATGAAACCAACCATAGACAAAAATAATTTTCCATTGATGTTTTGGCTTTTCTTGTTTGCAACTCAATGATAAGTCTCACTTTTATGAAGTCTATGAAGTTGTGTCATAGCTCTTTTAAATGTAAGAAACCAAGATTATATTACATCCGTAGACGAAAGCTTATGATTTCCGATATGGACACTAGTTCTTCTGTGTTAATTCAGATAAAACTAGAACAAGCTATCAACTGGTACGTTTGCATCGTTGTTCCATAGAAAGACATATTTTTAGAACACTTATTACTCAAAACCATCGAACATAAATACATCGTAACTAGATGAACACATTTTCCTCATCCGTATTACTATTCTCGTCTTTATCGTCATTTCTAAAGTATCCAAGAAAAGCAGCAATTCTAAAGATATGTTTCACTACCGTGCTTTGCTGCATCATATCAGCCACAATCTTCATGTCAGCATCAGTCAAATTTTTTAGCTTTAAATCAAGTTTTTTGTTTTTTCGCTTATTTGTAATGAGTTCTTCAAGTTGAGGATTGTGATATGGTGGAACTTCAACATATCTTCCACATTCAATAATACTTTTCTTTAAACTTTGCAGTTGATCTAATCCTTCTAAAATGTACTCAGTTACAGTTGGTATTGGCAATACTTTTAAGTTTTCATTTGTTTCGTTCACATAATCATCAAATCCTTGTTTGGCTTCTAATAGTTTTATATGATTTTTAGTTGATGAAAGCATTTCAAAAGACACCTTTTGCATATTCAGACGCTGCAATTCAGTTGTTAACGGTTTTTTATAATCTTCAAGTCTTTTTTTTGTTCTTCTTCAGTATTGAAAATCTTTTGTAGCATATCTTTCTCATGTTCATCGATAATTCGTCGCATTTCTGCCATAGTTTCAGTCATCTTTTGTCGGCTAGATTTACTATTATTATCAATTACACTTAATAATATTTCTGCTTGATTGATTTTATAGTTTAAAGACGATTGAATATTTTGGAAATCAATATTTATCTACATCATCAAAGAAATACAATACAATACTCTCTTATTTCATATAGAATTTATGCTAACCTCGGTTTTAAATTCTTGTATAACATCATCAAACAAAACATAATTATGATCTTTATGTTGAAATAAGAGACAATCAATACATATAAGTGTTGAACATTTGGAACACCAATATTCCAGTGACTTTTTCGAATGTGTTTTACATAGACTCGTTTCCGATAATATATCTTTGGATAGGCGTTGATGTTTTTGCATAACTGGAGGTGCATGAACAGTTTCATAACATGTTGCACAAAAGTTTTCGTTTTCACACTTGTTGCATGCATATTCGGCCTTGACCGAGTGACAGTTAGTGCATTGATTTAATGTTTGAATTGAAACTGAAAGATTAATATGGGTTGTTAATAATTGTATGTGAAAAGTTGTGAAGAACTATGTATACATGTAGAGAAATGCTTCTATGTTGTGAAAAAACATAAGCAACATTGCTTTACATAGTATGATAAATTATCCTACTTACCGTGTAATTCTACTAAATCGCGTACTACTCGATTAAGAGGTAATGAGCTGATATCTTTTTTTAGTGCTACGAATCCATCTTTTAATGGACATTCGAATTGATCGCTATTGGTAGAAGCCATGTGCTCAATGCATTCACGACAATAAGTGTGCGAACAAGATAATAAACATGGATCTTTGAAAGATTCGTTACAAATCGGACAGGTAATTAAATCCTCGATGGTAACACTTTTGTTAGTTGACATATCAATGAATCAATAAAAAAATATACGTAGGATGGAGAATTTTTAATCTGAAATGGATGAAATAACGCAATGATCGGATGAAAGTTTTCAAATGTCAGATATTTATTTATTATATCCCTCATCAGATTTATATTGTTTATCTTTATTGCATGCAAGTATTTACAAGAATAAAATTGATATGTCAAATTAAATGTTTTGCTTAAAAAGTGGGACTATTTTGTATGTATGAATGTTTTCAACAGGTTTATTTTTACATTAATTATTGCTTTATATTAATATGCATTTATTGAAAATGTTTGAAAAGACATGCATGCTCGTACTTAAAATATGATAATATAAAAACATGATTTTCTTAATGTTTATTACGAATACATTCATATTATATTCTTTCAAATCGATTGAGCTGTTAAATATAAGCAGAGCATTGCCAACTAATATGCATATAATATTAATACTTTCGTTTCTTCAAAGAATGTCATTGACTTATTGTTAGTCAAATAAAGAGACGATTAGACAATCAGATGTTGAGTGCACAAGTCCTCCTAGCTGTTAGTATAAGTATTTTTGGCTGCAATCGAATTCAAACTAGTGAAAGGTAAATTCATGATCTGAATAAGTTGAATGAAACCTGGTCATTTATAACTATTTCTATATTAAGTTTTTGGTTTCAAGATATTGTGAAATATACGTACGATTAAGTGTTGTTGTTCGAGCGATTCTCCTTCATGATAATGCAGTTTCTACGAGATGTCTACTATTTAGCTTTGGAACAACACTAATGTTTGATTTTATGTATTGATTTGAGTATAGTTAATCAAGAATGAATATGAATAAGAATGATGTGTTTTGCACTAATCTAAAAATTGCCATTCTTTTTCGAACTAAACAGAAAAAGATTGTATGAATAATATAAGAACTCAACAGTTTCGAAGCTTTTCTATTGTTCAGACAGACGAAGGTCCTGAAGAAAACGCTATTTGAGCATTTTGTTATGGAATATTCGTGCAGGCTAATAATTTTCATCTAATGAAAAAACTGAATTACATTAAAATGTTTACACCTTTCGTTCGACGAAGCCAAATGTAATCTTTTTTTTGTCTCAAAACCCAAGATATTTTAAATAATTACCAAAAATGCCGTTCGTCACAAGCAACGAACTTTTATAATCTTATGATTTCTCTTTTCACTGTGTAACAAGTTCATTGTGTATTTTATTCTATGCTTGCAAAAAACTCCTTATCTATTTGCAAATACTGAATGCGTCATACTTCATACACGTTATCAAATCTGCTGTAGAATAAAATAAATCTGTTGTTATCAACTTCTTTTCAAGTTTTTAAATATGGGGACACGATTAATAATTGAGAAAGATTGAATAACTATATATACACTAGACCGTAGTTAAACGTCACATTTAAATCTAGGGAGACAACATTTATAATGGTGACGAATTGGATCACAAAAAACGAAATGATCATTTCAAACCTTTTTTTTTCATAAATCTGAAGTTCGTCGTCTTATTCGTACTTAGTTTTTTTCTTACCTTTAAGTAAATTTGATGATATTTATAGAGTCTCGTCTTTCTTCATTCTACGTTTCGAATAAACTCAAATGAATACAAACTACCAACCTACTGCTATATATTTAGCAAAGAGAAAAGGAATAGAAAAGATATTTTTATTTTTATCACAATTTTAAGGGTGTGGATGTGAGTGTAAAAACAAATGAAACACATCCACACCCTCAATCTAGTTTTCGTCGTATATTTTATTTAGTTAATATTATGATGAGAAAGACATATTAAAAAGTCTATGGATATTATGGAGAAAAAAAATAATGAATTTTATCCGTAGTTCAATCCTTAATATCAGCAACAGATTTACTGACATCATTTATAGCCCAAGGAAAATCATCATTAGCATCAATAAAAATATCTTTAAATAAAAAATGATGAAAACGTTGTTCATATTCATTTGATGGAATTAAAGAATATTCAAGATGTTTATCATGATCAGTAAGTTTTCGATAAGCTTGATCAAGTATTCTAAGAGTATCGTATGTTTGAAGAATATCAATCAAAACTAAATACATATAAACACGTTTGTTAGTTCCATTTATAATACCGGGAATGGGTAAAGTTGCACAAGCAATAGAATCATCATTATAATATAAATTCATATTCATTTTTTCTTTAAGCATCTCTAATGGTTTTAAATATGAATTTGATAAAGATGTTGTATCAAATTCAAAAATTGATGATGAAGTAACAAGAGTTGAATTTTCTATTTGTTTTAGTGCAAGACTATTAGTTGCACGAAGAAGAGCTGTAATTCCTTGTATGTTTTGACGTTCCAACATTTGTGATTCAGACATATCTAAATGTCTGATTCCAAGTAATAATGAATAATCCATTATATTAAGTTTTTTTAAAGCTTTTGCATCATTAGCAATAATAATTTTTAATTTTTGATAAATATTTGTTGGTATACGTATACCATTTGGATATAATTCAATAAAATTCATATCTTTTAATTTATAAAATTTTTCTGTTGATAAAAATCCAGTTGTTTTTCGTCTTATTTTTGAACCTTTTAAATCAAATATTTCATTGATTTTTAATGATGGTGTAAATGCATTGACGGTAATAGCAACATATATTGTAGTATTTGTTGATGATGATGTTTGTATACGTAATGAATATAATCCAACATAACGATTAAGTAATGTTGAATGTTGTCGAAATCGTAAATGATAACCAGATAAAATATTTAATAATACATGTGCTTCATAATCAAGTAAAGTTTTTAAAATGAATAATTGATCATGAGTTTTATACATTAATGAACCACTTCTTCCTGTATTTGTAAAATCTTTTAAATTATATTCCGAAAATGATTGACGAAATTTTTCATTAGATATACCAATATCTTCACGTATTTGATAGAAAATAGTTGGAGCTAATGAACTTATTTCAATATGTATTTTATCATTATGATTCGTTAATTCAACAAATTGAATATTATCTTCTTTGACATTTAATGTATATTGACACGAATGATATAAATGATTTTCATTACCGAAGGTAGTTGTATCATCTTCTTTATATTCATTAAATATTTTTGTTAAATGATCAAGTAAATCAATAATACCATGACATAATGCTGGTCCAAGAATTGAAGTTTTTGAACTAACATAGCGTAATGTTATTGGAGTTTGTACAAAAGATACACCATGAAAATTTAATAGATCTAATAAATCAATATTTATTATGCCTTCACTTATTTTATTATTACTTGTCGTCATATTTCTTTTTTTCT